TTATTTAGTCCTAATTTAAAAATTTAGGTTTTTCAAGTATAATTGACTTTGCTGAGATATTTACTGTCATATTATTGCTATCAATTAATAATGAGTTGATTGAAATTGTTAAGTTTGGTTAAATTGAAATCGTGTTTAAAAATAAGATATCAAATTCGTATTAACCCATGGCAAACTCAGTTTCATCAACGTCCACTATTGGATTTATAGTTATTAAATATTGATCTTAACTTAAATTGATTATTTATGATAAAATTGATTCAGTAAAATTGGATTTTGAACTCTATTTAACTTGATTAGAAAATTCCATTAATATAAATTAATGTCCTTCTGTTTGATTCAAATAAGTCAAGTAACATTTAGTTTCTAAATAGCATGAACTTGGTTATTCTAAATTACAAATCCAATTTTCCTCTATATCACAACCACTTGAACAACCATCATAATTTTCTAGATTTCCGTCATCACACTATTCTGAATTTTATAGTTTTCCATTTCCACAAGATATTGTATTATCTGATTATTCTAAATCATCAATTTCTTTATAAATGATTATTTTATTGCATCCCTCTGTGAGTAAATCATATCCTTCATCGCATTCTTAACAAATACCTTGAATACATTTAGAACATATAGGCTCACATTAAAACATGCATTAATAGCAACCATCATATGGAATATCATTAAAATCTTCACATTCTTCTAATCCTTCTACAATGATTCCATCGCCACATATTGGTTTACATAAATTATTCTCATCCATTTCGAAATTTTACAAGCATAAAAAACAAAGATTGGAAGTAGAACATTAGGAACAGTTTTGATCGCATATAAATTTACAATCATAACATCCATCATTAGGAGTATAGTTTCCATCGTCACATTATTCTTTAGAAGAAAGAGCTAGTAAACCGTCTCCACAGATTTGATAACATTTATAATCTATAATTTACCATCCATCAATGCACATATAGCATAATTATTCTATACATTCTTTGCATTCTAATTAACAACTTGTTTAGCATTTATAACATCCATCAAATTATATATTATTCTAATCATCACAAAATTCATATTGAACTGTTATTCCATCCTCGCATTTAGGAATACATAATTTCTTATTCCTAGATAACTTATAAAAGTTTTCACATTCCAGACATATATCTATTCGACTAAGTAAACAATTTTATATTAATTTTGTTTCACATTGAAGATAATGATATCCGAATATATCATGTGTTTAGAAATTACAATCAAAATTAGAGATTGGTAAAGGATTAGCAAATTAATCATTTAATAAATTTTGATATTAATTGCCATCATCAAAAAGGTTAGAAATCTAAATTGAGAAATTGTCCTATGATTTTTAATTTTAAATTTCTTTTGCTTCATAGCACGTTTGATCAATTAACATATAATTTGACTGGCATTATAAGCATTAGCCAAATTTACATTATTTACAAAATAATGGGCAAGAAAACTTGCATTAAAAACAACCATCATGTTCTTATTAATTCCCATCATCACATTCTTCATTATCTGTAATTATTTAGTCTCCGCATAAAGGAAAGCATGTTTATTATAAAATATCATATTCCCATTCTTCTTAACACTCAACACAATTACCCCTAATACAATTATTACAACCATGAACACAACCTTCAACATAGTCTACCCATATTTAAAAATCAGATATTCCCCAATAATTCTCATATCCAATAATTTTTATTGTAGCGAATTGATTAAAATGGTCAAAATTGATATTTACTGAATTTACATCATCGCCATAAGCAGAACCTGAGTGACAACAAATACTAGGTTTAGTAGATTCAGAATAGTATAATCCAGAAAAAACTAAACGATTATCTACTATGACCTCCAATCTATCATTTCCCCAATTATCCAAACTAAGATAAATGGTAATTTTTACTGCCAAAATTGAAAATTTAATGACAGAGTTTGATGACAAGGCAACTAAATATTTTTGATAATAGTTGTAGATCTATAAAAAGAATTACACCCACCAAATATCTAGGTAGTTCCGCAAATATTTGTGACTCCGCTTCCATTTTAAACTATCCAATCTAAACAATACATTTTAATAGTTATACCATTCTTGTAAACAAAATTTCCAAAAAAATTAGTATACTCTAATGTTTTAGCTTATGATGAGATATTCAATAGATTAATTAGAGTTAATCTTATCAAATTAACATAAAGTGCTGAAAAATAGATAGACTTAGTGATGAAGGTTTTCTGGTGATCAAATGATGTAATCATTTCCAATTCTATAAATTAAATAGCATTAATTAACAATATATTATTTAAATTAAGATGCATTCAAAATGCAAATAATTTTTATTGATTTATATATATATAAACATAATGTAATTTTAATTTAATTACAACCACTTAAGGTATTTGTCAAGGCTAGATTAATATATTACCTAAAAAATATTAGTCAGAAATAATATGATTTTAATCACACTAGATTTCTATTTTTCATAAACTTTTTATAACCAATCTTATTGTAAATTTCCACTAGAATCTCCTTCTTAGAAGTTCGATGAAAGTTATCACTCGGTCGCATAGGCAAGAGTATTATTCTGTATAACTTTTTGTAGTTAAAATAGCTAATAAATTCGATTATGCATTTTGATTAAATTAAATATAATATATAGAAGAAATGTTTAATGCTTCAAATTAATACCATAATCTATTAGAAATAACATAATTGTACTTCCTTGGACAACATTTATAGATTTTATTGCAAAAATAAATTGATAATGAAATTGGTTTATCATTTGATTTTTTTACTTAAAATTTAGATTATATTAATAATTATTCTGTAATTGTATAGAAGCACATATTGAATCTTTATTTGCCCCCCTACACAATTTATATTAAACTTATATGGATCCAGATAGTAAAATAATTGTTTCTATGAATTTTTTAAATTTGATTAATAAACTAGATCTAGCAAATAAGAATTAATATAAAATTGGCATAAACTCATTGTATGAATCAATAAATTCATTCAACGACTTTATTTACAAGTTTTCAGATATTTTTAAATCTGCTATAATCACTTATAGTTCTTAGCACAAAAAGCATGTTCAAAGGGCAATAATTTATCTCAAGATATAAGCTGACAATAGTAAATGTGTAAAGTAACTAGGTTTTATTCAAATATCTATGATTTCTTCTCAAAAATTGGAAATTAATTTTTGCTTGTAGAAGTATAACACCAAATGCTTTAGTGTTTGTGAAGACTTAGAAGCACACTTTTAAATTTCACTCTTCGGATTGTAGTTCTAAGGAAGAAAGCATAATGTGGGAGCTGATGCATCAACTTTTAAAGCAAACATTTTTTAAGTGAACTTCTCTGTATCAGTTCCTTATTACTCTTCTGATGACAGAATTCTTTTTTTCTTAACTCATTCCCAGTTTAACACACCCTAATTTATGACCTAGAGTTAAAATTAAGTTATTGCATAGCCTCCTATCTCCCGGTTAGCAGATGAGTTCTCTTTAGGTAAAATCAAACAGATAAATAAATCATTCTTAAGGTCTTCTTCGTTTTTTACTCTGAAAGATCAAAGGATTCTCAACAATAATCAACTTTCTTGGGTGCAACTCTCTTTAAGAGTTTAGATAGTATCTCTATTTATGTGTAGCTGATTATTTTTTAGGAAGCCACAGGTTGAAAGAGAGATTCCCAATATTTACTTTCTTATTTCAGAATAAAACTTTAATGAAATCTTATTCAAACACTAAAAAGCTATTCTAGCATCTAAAGGAACCAAAAGTAAACTCAAACAGAAAATTTTCCTTTTGATCAAATTATTACCTTTCATGTTAGTTTACAATGTACTTATAAAAGGAGTGCGATTATTCATAAATCTGTAGTAATTAGCCAATTGAAAAGGTTATTACGATCATCCTAAGATCTGAATCATAATATCTTACTATTGCAAACATTTATTGAAAGTTGTAATAATTCCTGGATTTATATTATAAAAATTAATATTCAGAATGATTAGATAGTTTTGATTGTACTATATAATAGAATGTATATTGAATATATTTTATTTGTGGATTATTAATATAATTAATATATATAAACATTTTCAAGTCCTTAAATATTTTTCTAATTTAATTCTAAAATTCTCTATCTTTCACACTAACCATACAAGTAATGCTTGTTATACAATTCAATTGTATTTCTATACATTTTAGTCTTATTTGATATAATAAACTTAATTTTTATTGATATTAAGCACACCACATAATAGCTTGTCCAAATTAATTGTACTATTCTAGAATATTATTTTGGAAAAGCAATTCAAGCTTTATACAGGAGTCTCAAATTCATCTGTTAAAATTGTAATCTGTTTTTATTTATTGATAATGAAAGTGAAATTTTTTTTAAATTATGCAACATCTTTATTAGCTAAAGTAAAATTTAAAATCTACGCCTTTATAATAATACCCATTTTCATATTACAATAATGGAGTTATTTAAATGAATTTACAATTCATATTATTGTCTTTGGACTATTAAAGCGCATAATTAAATTTATAGTTGTATTATAACATTTTGTTTTACCTTTAAAAATGGCATTGAAATCATCATTATAAAAATTTATATTTTTTAATCTAACAATTATGAGTTATATTAATAATTTTTGAATACATTTTTTACTCTAAAAAATTACATAAAAAAGATTTGAAATCAATTCTTTAAATTACAAAATGGAAAAAAAGTACAGCCTAAAGCTATGAAATTTATTAATAAAAGATTAATTAGATTTTTGAAATAATTAGTTAAGTTCAAAAATATTTATCAAATTTGGGTGAAGATTTAGAAAAATCATTTGATGAAATCGTGAATGATGAGTTTGAAAAGTAAGTTTGCAATTTATTAAAAATCCAGCAATTATCATCATCTTTTAATTTTTTAACATCCAACCTAGAGACCTTGATGGAACCTATTTTAGATGTTTTCTATAGTTGAAGCATCTTCAAAAGACAAACGAGTTAAGGCATAGCCATCTCTGCATATCACTAATAATAAATAATAAACTTTTGGCTAGGAATAACAAATACAAAAGGAATATCAAATTGATTTTGGAATTTAAGGCCTTAAGCAATAAAAATAATTGAAAACCTTAAGGAATTTAGATTTAATAAGGAAGGAGAATGGTTTTGATATTTATTAATTTCCTTTGATTTACAAATAACAAATTGGATGTATTGAGGAATATAAAACAATAATTTTAATAGGAACTTAAAATTCATAAAAGTTGAATTTCATAAAATTTATTTGTAAATTATTATTATGATGTTGAATTTTCAGATGGTTATAGATTTGAAATAGATCATAATATTGATATAAGTAAAGATAAATAAAATGATGAATATGAATAAATGAAAGTATATTATATTAGACCATCAAATGGATAATTAGGACTTAGAATTATATATACATTAGATTATAATGATGATTTAATTTATGAGGATTAACAAATATTCAAATAGAATATTCAATGTAATATCTAATTCAACTTAACTTAATCAAAATATACTAATTGGTTTTGTTATTCCATAATAAGTGTAAATCGGAACATTTTTTATGTTGGAATCTAGCTGAATATATCCTATAATTAGCTCAAAAGAAATACCTTAAGCATATATTATCAATTTTTTTCTATTATAGTCTTTCTCGCATTCCTACTTAACTTGAAGAATAAGGAAGAAATGGTTTCGATTAATCTAAGATTCTGTTCCATTAACTACATATATGGCCTCTGATTTTAGATTTCTAATTATAAACCCATTTTAATAAACTTAGTTGGTTTAGGTCTATTTTACTAATATTTAGAAATATGAATAATCCTATTAAAATTTAATTAACCTTCTGTATATTTTTAATCGCTCAATGTTAAAATACAAAAATGAATGAAAATTTTATTTTTACAAAGCAACAAATATATATCTGATATAATTTTAAAAATAATTCATTAATATAAAGGGCTTAAATATTGTTTTCTTAAGTTTGTTGAATACATTATTTGATTTAGATTTATCTAATAAAATTAATTTTGATTATAACTATTAATTTTAACTCTTATATGCTTGCACTTTTGAATAAGGGATGAGATTTTTAATAATAGATTTATTTTATGTAAATTATTGTATTTAAGAATTATTTTAAGCGAATGATCAGTATCGTTTTCGAAAATTTAAAAAATAAAAGAAGTCGATATTATTAATTAAAGGTGTAAAATGTGATTTTATTTTAAGTAAGAATTTACTTAACTTAATATATACAGAGATTAATTAATAAATAGTTTAGATTAGCTTATTGGAACCATAATTAAATGACTTAATAACTCTATTTAATCGCTTAAATTTTCTCATGAAAAGAAGAACAACCAGTTTCTAATAATAATAGAAGAAGCTTAGATAATTAATTTTTTGAAATTTAAAAGATTGTTGAATGGAGTAAAATAAAAAATTGAATAATTGATTAATGAATATGATTAGATGAAGCAAGATTATTTATAATAATGGACAACTAAATTTTGTAATTTATTTCAATGTTGTAATATAAAATCTGATAGTTAGGCTGAGGCAGTTCAATAGGCCCAAAAGCAATTTCAATCTTACTTTAATTAAATAAGGGTAATAGGTTTTGGAATTAACAATGCAAAACTTTTCATTTAAAGAACTTCTTAACTACACATAGAATAACTATAAATAAAAAATTATTTATTTTCAAAATATGATTGTATTGAATCATTTAAACTCTTTCAAATTGCATTAAAGTTATATAACAATTTCATTTAAATGAACACATACATGGCCTACTATTTCTGAGTATGCAATTAATTTGAATGCGAATCAACATCAACTTATATGCCTGAATTATAATTGATAATAAGATTAGATGAGTGTGTGAAGAATTTCTTAGATTTTTAATTTGAGATTAATGTTATTTTTATGCATTTGAGAGCTTTAATAAATTAATCAAATAAAGAGGATGAGGCTAATTAGGGTTGTATGCCAGGATATATTTGAGATAAAAGGAAATGCAAAACCAGATCTTAATGACGAATAGAAAATCTCAGAGCTCCAAGTTTAGCAGAACAGCACATATCTATCGATGTTAATTGAAACTACTATAAAAAAGAATGCGAGAATCATTACGATCTTAAAGAGGCGGCTATCTCAAATAATATTGCTTTTTAATTTAAAGTGAGAATTTAAATAGACAATAATTTTAAGGTTAAATCAATTATAAAACTTCTGCAAGAATAAATAAATTTCATCAGATCATTTATAGTAAATTCTTGCCATATTGTAGAGGCAATGAAGTTAACTACGAGGTTCAGTTTATTTAAAGAATATTATATTAAGGAAAATTAACTAAATTGGTGGATGAAGAGATAACTAACAAAATGGTGATACCTTACATAGCTTATAAAATTGAAGTTTATTGAAAGTTAATTTTATTATAGAAAATGGGGATTTGAAGACAACTTGTGTTAGTGAGTGAAATTCTAATATTCAAATTATTGTAAGGTCTCCTTTTCATCAATAAATAATGGAGATTTTCTGGCATTTTATAATTAAGTGGCCAGATTTTAAAGCAAGTCATTCATTATATTCTACTCCTGATATTATATTTCTTGAAGTGCTTAATAATATAACTTAATTAGAAATTTAAATAATAACAACTATAATTTCTTAAACTAATCAGTTTATTAAATTGGTTGAATTGCTGATTGATTTAATAGCCAATAAACTTTTTGGTTTGGTTTTACAATAAGTGCAGTTAGGATCAAACTACTTAGTAAAATATCAAGTAGAATTGCAGCAGCTAATAGTATCTGTTAATGTTGAACCATTTTCTCAATGATTATCAGATGAATAATAACAGCAACCCCTACTAAAGTTCTTTAGTTTATGCATCTAGTTTATCTGAGAAATAAGTTCCAACCAAATTTTTCGGCCTGATTCAATGTATTGGTTATGGAGATCGCCATTCGTGATGTGATTACTTAGATAGAATGAAGATCTTACCTCTTGGATGAAAGAATTTGAAAAACCTGAAAAGCCGCCAATTTAGATCTGCTTCCAAAATAAGAAAAGGTATTAAGTGGAACCAGAAGATGTCTAGTCCACTTTTCTGTTTATTGAATAGAATAATAACAAAATGTTATCATTAATTTTAATTGAATTTAATATCAAATTTATTCATTAATCTATTCTTGGAATTGATGGAAGATATATTAAAAGTAGCAGTAGCAGATGTTAATATGCAAAAATAAATCAAAAAAATCAAAAGTTGCAGTATTTGTTGAATTTTTATAAAATATTGAACAAAATTGTTACTTAAATTAAGATTAAGATTAAGGAGGATAACTAGTCTAACACTGATTCCTCTTCCATCCCTAGTAAACACCATGAGAAGTGTTAACATAAACATTGGATGAAAACAATTATTTTAAAAAATCATACAAACTAACAAAATTAGATCAAATATGGATAGCTCTATCATTTCGTGATTCATTTCATAAAAAGTTTTTGAATTGCCACGAAAATGATGGCATTCACAAATTATAAACATTAATATTTTAGTTTCAAATTTTGTCAAAGATAAAACTAATCATTATCTTAGTTATTTAAAGGTTAGTAACTCAAATATCTTTATTCTACTTAAGAATATACTAAATTATCATCATCTTCATAAAATATCCTTATTTTATATTCTCAAAGTTAAATCAATAATTGACTAAGAAAATCCTTCATATATCCCTCTATGAAAATATTATAAGCTCAATTATTTGTACTTTAAAAAGATTCAATGAGATCAAAACTAAGATCAATTTCATATTAGATAAGATATTTTATTGAACAATTATCAAATCTTAACTTTGAAGTCGAACACCAGCACCAATTCTTAGAAAATGGCAGAAGTTTCATATTGCTCATATTACAACTACTTGATATTTTGAGGGTTTACTTATAATTTAATTGTCTGAATATTAAAGGACTCTAAATTGACAGAGTTGCACTCTTTGGTTACAATTTTGGATTGAGTTGATCCAAATAAGAGATAATAGAATTTATCATCTATTCTCAAGCAAACGCCATGGCGAAAGGCCAAAGTCTATTACCCACTAAAAGAAGGACATAGACAATAGTGAATTTATAGATATTCCGTTTGAGTTATTTGGTATCCTCATTCGAACAGATAATGGAATTGGAGATTAATAAGATACTCTTTTAAATAGCTAAAATTATATCTCTTTACATAGGTAAGCAATCAAGTCAACCTCAGATACTTGAATCCTGTTTATCATTACTTATTCTAAGGAGAGAAAAGACTGACTCTTAATTGTCACATACCTTGTAAATCGAGATAATTTAAGAGGGTTTCACTTATTTTATTTTGAGGCATGGTTAGATTATTAATAAGCAAAAATTCTTGTTCCTGAGAGTTTAATTGATCAAAGTATATATAAAAATTAAAGGGAAATAGTAATGATCCTTAATGAAATAAATTTAGAAAATCTACTCTTTTTCTTTAGCTCAAGTCTTAGATACATAAGTATTCTCCTATCCTCTATGAAGAAAAAGATACTTAATGCTTAAACACTTTCTAAATCATCAGGTTGTTGGAAGTTGGATTCCAAATATTGACTAAATATTTAATTTCAACCAGATGCCACACTATTGTTGTTAGTCTTTTTAACCAGTCTTCGTTTTCATTGATGTTAAAATTCTTAGGTAAATAGTTTTATTAGAATTGCTTTTTTTGATACGATCTTCAATGCAAAAGGCATATGTATTTTATCGCATATCATTTATTTTAATGATTTTCATGAAAGAGTCTTCTTTTAAACAGAATTGAGATCTCTTTCATAAGAATAATGTTGTAAAGCCATCAGATTTAAGGGAGAGCAGATGAACTTTGGATGCTTCTTTAGAGTCCCCAAAATTCATGTTAACAGTGATGTTATTTCTGGCTTAGATTCTTATAGTCATTAGCTTTTATTATGATCATAATGCTTCTTATTATTACTTTATGTGGATTAAATAAGGATGCCTTGATTGCATTACTTTATCTCAATCATTATTGTATTGAAAATGAGTAAGAGTGATTGAACCAATAATTTAACATTATTATAAATCTCTACTGTGAAGCAAATTAATTTGAAAATAAATTGTCAAAACCAAAACACAAAATAATATATACGCTATACTAAACTGATTAAGACTTATTAACACTAACAAATCATAACAATTAAAGATATTTAAACATTTAACTTTTATTATGAGCATAATTTACTAAGTATTCTAAATGACTCGCATTTTTTTCCATAAATGAGAATCAACTTCGGCTGAAGTATAGGCTGTTTCTGACAAAAATATTTCAAGTATATTTTTATGATCTAAAAATTTTAAGCTGATAAAAGTCATAAATTTGAGATAACTAACTAATTACTTTGAAGAAATAATGGAACCTGTCATTCCATATATCCATGTGATCTATTCTACTCTTATTTGCATAAAAATAACTGGATTTAGGTTATTTTTGATGGCACAAATTTTATCTTGACACTTTTCTGATATAATTAAAGTAAATTGTCAACGTTTATTGTTTAATGTTGTAAAAATAGCAGATAAATGAAATAACAAGGGATTTGATTCAAAAAATAATGAAAAATTTTGTTGATTTCACTCATCCTTAAGCACATTTTGTAATTTATTTAACATCAAAACATTAATTTGAAATATTATAA